TGAATTTCTTCACAACTCACACCCTTTAAAAAGTGTTTTTCACATAAAATGCCTCTGGAGAAAATCAAATGTAGTCAAGGCTGCAAAACACACACAAACATACATGAAGTGATCTAATAAATAGCATAACTCTGAGATAAAGCTTTTCACACCGTAGGTTTTCTTTGTTTTCTCATTGACCACATAGAGTATGGTTAACACACATACTTGGAAAGAGTTTCACCACATAAATATAAAATTAAATGAATCATGTGATATTAATGCCTTATGCCCATTTGTTTATTTGTATGTATTTCAAATTATTACTTTTTTTAAAAAAATGTGATTACGTCACCTTAACCACAGTACAAAAGCTGTACGACAGAGCAAGCAAAGCATTTCATTGTGGTGGGTTTGTGACTCTGCAGTTTTAATGAAAGCCAGAAGCAACTGAGACAGATGTCTGGAAAGGAATACTTGAGACTCGCCAAAATCACTGGCAGATTTAATCATGTGCAATATCAACACCTGCACTTCTTACAAATGTTTGGAAACAATGTGAGGCCAGAAATGTCATCTCGCACTATAATCACAAACCTGGTTGGTTTGTGAGAATTGTGATACCAACCCAATGCCTCAACCTCAGGGTTAATTCTAAATGTGTCATCCTGAATACTTGACCCTATTAAAGGTGCAGGAGATAGATGGTGACAGGAATCCTGCTAAATAGAGGGAAAAGCCTTTTTTCCTTTATGCTACTTGAATAAATCCATTGTATTGTGCTTTTTAAAATTGACAAGAGCTGCACTTGTTCATATTTGTAATGTATAATTCATGTGGATAGTTATTTGAGATACTGTTCCACTATCCATGTAATCCCAGTCAACCCAATTGCAGTCACTCATGATTAAACATTTAGGTTTAATCCTATTATTTGTTAAATACAATCAATTATTTGACACTAAACCCCAATTTAAAAAAAAACTGATGTCATCAGAAATTCACTTCCAACTGTGACTTGTTGATCCAAAATATGACACATATGTGACACATTTCTCTTTAAGATACTTTACTTTCAAGTAGAATAAACCTCAGAACACACAGAATAGTAAATATTTTGAAACCCAGGTATTTCACTGGAAATACAACATGAAAATTATAGCTTTTATAGAATATATATTTAAATCATTTCCTATTTTACACGCTAGCTATTGAAGCATTTGATATGTGACTATGTGGACTAAAAGTGGCAAATTGGATTACTTTTGTTAATTGTGACTTCCAGTTTGCGAATAACAGATTGTGGAATTCACTGCAAGACTCATCAGTGTTTAATCAACAACAACAACTTGCATTGATATAATGCTCCTCACGCAAAATAGCGTCCCAGAGCGCTTGAGAGTGGCAGAGCATGTCGCCGAGCTGGGGAAGGGGGGGTGGGCGCGGGTGGGGTGACCATAGGCACGATTGACCTGAAGATGGGGAAGGAAGGGGCAAAGTGGAAAGATAGAGGAAGAGTGTTCCAGATTTTGAGACGTAGTGGCTGAAAACGTGGCCACCAATGGTAGAACGGAGGGCACGAGGGGCACAACTCCCAAGCTGACACAGTGAGCTTCACTTACTGGTATTTTTATGGCCTCTGTTGGCTGGGAATCCATGAATTGTCTTTCATGAATCTTGACATGCATTTCACAAGCTGCTGTTCGCAAAACCATCCAATTTGCTAGTCCTATAAATTTAAGAGCTTCCCACTCATCCCCCCGCCTCTTGGATGACCTTAATGGAACCACACACAAAAGGTTGCAAGGTCATTGGGTGCAGGTGAAAAAATGTTTGCAAATGGGGATGAGAACAAACATGGCATCTGAGCTCAAACCAATATTTTTCAGGGAGCTGGGAGGGATTTTGGCTGATCTTAGCCTTTCTCAGTTATAGCTGAAATTTGGCTCATTCTTTTCAAACAAGTACAAATCAAAACTGATTCTGCATGTCCTGACTTTGCTTGTGTACAGCTATGCCCTTGAAAAATTATTCTTAGTGAACTGTGCATGCACAGAATGTTAGATTTCTTTCTGTAGGATCCTTGACATCCTAAGCAGCACATGTCAAGTTTTGGATCACACTCTATTCTTATAATTCATTTTTGTTAATGGGAAATGTGTTTATGGAAGTTGTAATGAACAGTTTTGCACACAAGTACGCCCTTGCCAACAATGAACAATCCAAACCTGGACATGAACCAGGTGAGGGAGATCTGGCAGCAGGTACATTTGGATGGAGAGAACTTGGGAAGACTGGGAGGAGTTGTGATAGGAGCATTCAGCAGTCTGAGCAGGGCTGCAATGGGTGGAAACAGTAGATTGAGCAGAGCTGTGAAGGGGAAGAAAGGGGATAAGAGACCCCACAACAGGCAAATAGACATTGAGGACAGTGACATTGGAAGAACAATCAAGGTAGAAGAAACAAAGTGAGGATTGGTCCAAAAGTGTGAAGATTCAGTAGTATCAGTGATTGTTTGAAGACTTTTTTTTCCTTCCAATATAAATCTGAATAAATTAGAATTGAGCAGAATGAAACCAAACCAGTTCTTTCATTCAAGCGAGTAAATACGAATTGGTCTAAATGTGCAGTTGCTAAGTCAGCCAACTCTTCCAGGCATTATCCTTCCCCATCTCCTCTTTGAGCTGTTGCGAAGGCTATCACAGAACTGTGTTAATCACATGTTTGTCGTAACCAGCCCCTCTCACACAAGATAGTTCTTAACAACAATGATGAGTGAAGGAAAGCCAGGGACTTCTGCCATCAGAGACATCAGCTGTAGCAGAATCCAGATGTTCTGCAAGTGTCCATAAGAACATAAAAGTGCTTCGGAGCGAAAAAGGAAACATGAATATTACTATGAACGATTTTTAGGATCACAGCTGCACATGCTTAGCTGCGCTTTTTGGTGACTTAGAATTAATACAGTCAAACAGAAACTATCCAAAGAATTGGATTTTAACAAAATATGTGGGAGTGAAATGGAAGTGAAAGAGTTCATCTGGACCTTACCTGAAATTAGCAGATAAAAAAAATGCAATATGAATACTATTTGCTTTTATGTAGATTAACCGATATATATACACACATACATCACACAAATCAAATAATAATAGTTTTCTCCCAGAGAGCAAGTCAAGGCAGATCCAGAGCCACAGCTGTTGTGAGTACTTTGCCAACACTTGCCCATCTCCAAATACACCTCATCCAAATCCTTTAAGTGTACTAACATTTCCAGTTTAACCCACAACTGAAGTACAGCATATAAATAGAGCACATTAAATTCTCAATTGAACAATCGTTACACATCTAAATTACTGCCATTTTCTTGTAGAAAGATTAATATCTGCAGAACATATAACAGAAATCTTCCCCAGTCCCTTTGGAATCCCCCCATATTCTATTCGAACAAAACCATATTTGCCCAGAATTATCCACATGCTATAAACCCTCTCAAAAGTCTTTAGTAATTCAGCAACAAACAAGAAACCAAAGCTTCTTTCAGCCAGGAACTTCAGCTGCAGATTCTCCATCCGGAACAGTTACTGTTACTTTACTATTATAACAAAAACTGCCAAACTTCTACCACAACAGTGTGTCACAATGGCGTGAATGTATATATTCAGTTGGCCAAAGCCATTTGTGGGATCCTCAAACCAACAACGCACAACCAGTTTTGTTTTCACCAATCTCATCCCCATCTCTAGATAAGTCTTAACCAGGCTCTTGTCTTGCACTTGTCACTCACAAGGAATATCTCGCCCTTTATTATTTCCATACTGGACCTGGTGTGGGGTCCGCAATAATCCAAGGCACTGCCGATGACGGACCAGCCATCCTGACTCATCCAAGGGCCTTGGAAGGGCAGACCAGTTACTGGGGGCAAGGATTCTTTCTGCCTGGCCTCCTGTTATCCCTGCAAGCCAAATCCCTAATGGCAAGGTAGCCGTAGCTGGAAAAGCAGCAGAAGCTTGCTGGACAGTGCTCTCAATTGCAAGCTATGTGGTCAGCTGGTTCCAGGAGTTCCCCAATGCACACTCTAGGTTCCCTGAGCCTGAGCTCTTGCCAATCCACACTTAATACATTCCAGAATTAGGTAAACAGAGTGGGTCCCTACAGTGAGAGAGTATGAATTCCATTCCAGACACAGACACTTTCCGTGTTTAGGTGGAATATATATATATATGTGGAACTGTCTGTCTGGTTTGGATATTCTTAAGCATGGAGATAGGTTTTCACATGTGTGGGACACCCGCCTGACCAAATTAAAAGTGTGCAATACTCTATGAGCGTAGAGATTGAAATGTAATGTGTATATTAACTTATTCTCACAGGAGGAAATGGAACGTTTCCAGCTGTAGAACACACTGTAATTGAGAATTCATGACTAACTAACTTTGTAACTACAGAATACGCTTAAAACTAAATCATTACCAACCAAGACCTAGACTGTGAAAGTCATATTTCTGATGTTTTTGAAACTCAGAAAGATATTCCACAATCAAATGTATTCAAATGAGCATTCAAGAAGAAAGACTGCTGCATGGTATATAGTACAATCCAGGCCATTCCATCCAACCCATGATTTCATGTTAATTAGAGATAAAATGGTTGCCATTGTATATTATTAATCTTTTCCTAGATTTATTTTAGTGATCAATTTATAGCACACGTTATCAATAACACTGTAAGTAGACAAAAAAATACAATGAGGGGTTGTTGGAGACTTCCTTTTGAAATACAAACTCCAAAGTACACAAAGAAATTGTTAATAGTGTACATTTGGAGGTAGGGAACGTACAAATGTATCTCCTAATGCTCATCTTCATTTGCAACTTAACTGGGAAAACCAGCTAAAATTGAAAATTTGCAGGAACTCTCCAAGATAGTTAGTTGACTATAAGTTGCAGATTGTTACATAAAGCCAATTACGTGCTGCAACATCACTAGATATATGATTAAAGGGAATAGTATCATCTTACCTTGCGAATGTCCTTGTGCAATTCCGGCAGTCAAACATACTGTAAGCAAGAAAAGGAGGGAGTTCCTGCAGAGAAGAAGCACAATGGAGTTTAGTAGATCTTCAAAGTTATTCTAAGTTCTACCCTCTAGAGATCAATGTGGTCTAGCCTTGCAGACCTGGCTCAGTCCCAAGATGATAGGCAGGACATGGAGACTAGAAGCATTCTTGCTTCTAGAAGCATTCCTGACTAGCCAATGAAGGCCCATTGCTAAAACCAAATATCCTTTTATATATGCATATGGGAAATTTCATTAAAAGTCAACAATGATAAGATCCCAGCATTAGAAATCAAGTCAATCAATGAGTGATTGGCTCAAAAATAAAGACAGAAACCTAGTAAATTGAAAACAAACAATAAACCTTGTATTATATTGCGCCCTTCACAGAGAAGGAAAACAAAATGAAATCAGCCAGGTATTTCTAAAGGAACATAGAGTTGATTAGATTAAAATTGCTAGCTTATTGCTGATATCCTAGTGTTCCTTCCACACACCTTTAGCTTAAGCACTGCTCACTACATTCTGACCGTAACTAACACTTGGATCACTTAAGGTTAATACCTTACATATAGTCTGTACAAGAATCTTGCTGTTAATATCCTATTATAACATTTTTACTAATAATATCCATACAAAATAAATTATAGGTCTTTTATGATCTTAAATACAGGGTAAGAGCAGGAATGCTTCTAGTCTCCATGCCCTGCCTATTATCTTGGGACTGAGCCAGGTCTGCAAAGCTCAGGGGTAGATTCCACCTGCCTGCAGTTTGATCTAATTTCTAGATCAAATATTATCATTGGGAGATAAACATCATTGCCCACAAACCTTATTTGAAAGGGAAATGCACTACACCTAACAAAATAGGTAAAATACATGCATATAAGAATTTTGTGTTTTTAACAAAAGTGCTTTTTACTGCGAAACGCTCAACTCTTCATTAAATGTAATGTTGTAAAATGAAGAGTGTCATGCTCTTTAATTAAGTAGAAGACTGCTGCAACAATTACTTTCATCTCTTTAAATGTGCATATTATAGTAGTCTTTACACACATTTGTTTAGATTAAATGCCTATACTCTTGAGGTAGCACATTTGAATTCTACTCAAGGTAAACAGATTAAATTCTTAAACATATTAATCATCTGTTTCCATAAGCTCCTTTTTTTCTTAAAAAAAGACATTAAAATTAGATGTAATGGTTAACCACGGGGTGTTATTTCAGACCCCTGTCAATCATCTCCTGATCCTCAGTGCTACAAATAAGTTACTTGCAAACTAGGAAAGTACAACACAATGTTTAGGTCCTTGCCTTCACATGGATCCATCAATAAAGCCACATATTTCTATGCCTAGCATTAATATTTGAGACTAGATAGTTTCTTTCACTGCTCAAGAGTATCTACTGATTTGACTGGAACATCTTTCATTTACAGCCTACAACAAAACCAGAGCCAGAAACCATAAAATCGACTTAACCTACAGAGTTTCAGAACCTGTGCTGTTGTAAATTACAACACATGGTAACAAACGTGCACAGTTTACAAAACTATTACATATTTATAGAACAGCAACGATTACCTACTTTTGAAACAAGATTTTCTAAAGTAGTGCAGTTATTTACACAACCCCTCAGTTAAACTACACATCACTGAACAATTTGATTTATGGGCCCATAATTATGGCCCAAATGTATACACACAGAATTAAACATCCCAAGTATACATTGAAAGAATATGTTCCTCTAATTTATTTTCAGATACAGAATCAAATTAGGTGCCTACTAAGAAAATTGCACTTCATTTATGGACAAATATAATCTTGTTCTGCAAGTATGTTGCTTTAAAATCTCAGAGTTCTAAAATTGAGCTTTCTACCTATAATTAGGGAAGATAGTAATGGCTTTTTAACAGTTCAGATGAAGCTAGATAAAGTATTAAGAAAAAGTCACAGGATGCAGAATCAGTGGATCCAAACTTTTTATTGCAAAGAACATTCAAAACAAATTTATGGCAAGATAACAAATCTGTGCCATTAAATAAAAAGTAATATTAAATTATATGCAAGTTTCACTTAAAACACATTTAAATATCAACAGAGGGTTTGAAGTGGAACAGATTATTTAAATTGGGGCAACATCAAACTTTGTAGATAAGGGTTTTAACATTTAAAATATGCTTACCAATTATATTGTACTGTGGAAAGTAAATTTCACAAAATTATTAGCATATCTTTTTATTTACGGATGGGCTATGTGGGTCTGTAGAGATAATCATAATAATAATAATCCTTGCATTTGATACAGCGCTTTTCAAGTCTTTTAGACGCTCAAAGCGCTTCACAGAATATACTGTAAAGTGAATTGACTATTTGTGGGTGAAACGCGGCAGCCAATTGCGCACAACAATGTCCCACAAACAGTCGTGGATTGAAGTGACCAATTTTTATTTCTTTATTTTTTTCCTTGAGGCATTATTATCAGGCATGTGGAGTAAGGAAACTTGCCCAAGGTTTCGCCCTGCCTGGAATCGAACCCAGGTCGATTGAGGAATACTAAGTGGTATTGTGGTACCCACTATAAGAATGGCAATTGAATTGTCACAATACATTCTGCTGAAAATGGCCTTTAGTTGACTCTAAGGAAGTCCGAATGTGGAGTCGCTCTGTGGTGTCACATGCTGTTGCAAATCCAGGCTGGCTTGCTGGAGATCAGTACAAGAATACTGAGCACATGATTGGAGAAACAGTATCCTTCAATAGATGTGTAATATTACAAAATATTTGGCATCATTCTACGTTCTTATAGTCGAACTTGTGTATAACATCCCAGAGTTCTAAAAGTGACCTTTCTACCAAAAATCAGGGCAAACAGAAAAGATATGAATATGAAAGATAAAGAAAGAGGTACAGGATGCAGAATCAGTGGAGCCAAACGTGCACAAGTTAATGGAACCTCTGAGAGAAGGACCAAATTCTACCTCTTGTTGGCTCTGTGATTGTGCAGCCAGGGAACATTAAAGAGCACAGCTGCACTTACCCCACAGAGGGTTAATATGTCATTACGTACAAAAGCAGTCCCTACATTTGATATCAATTTATTGTGAAGTACTGAGACATTTTGACATTCGTGAACTTTTTTTCTCATTCTCCTGTCACCTAGGCATGTTTTTTTTAAAAAAAGATCTATTCCCCACATGGCCATTTTTGTTGCTCTCCAACCATAGCAGTTCCTTTGTGGTGTGATGTAACCTCCTTCTCTAAGATCTTGATCGATGATCTATTTTGCTGAACCAGAGGACGAGGATGTGAAAGATCTTCTGTAAAGATACAAGAACAAGAATTTTTTCTTAGGCGACAATGGTTTACATATAATTGAAGGAGGTTACAATAAGATGACACTTTTATTATATAACTTATTATCATATAGAAGCAATTAATTATAGGCCAAAAGTGGTTGATTATGCTTGCATGTGTATTATTGTAATATATATTTTACAATGTTTAATAATAATAATGGAGATGCTCATGAATGAAGTAATAGAGCATAGTTTGATAAAATAATGTGACACTTACCAGAATTCCTGGAATAGCCAGAGTTCAGCAGGTCCCTCTTCCATAAGATGTAATATTCTGATCACTCTTGCGTCTGCCCAGGTAAAAGTTTCTCCTTGGTCAAATCTATATCTTGCATGGTTGCTTTCTATCATATTAAATACCTGGAATCACAGATTCCTTATGCATTTAACAATTCAAGCGTTAGTGACTTTATTTAAAAAATCATTTCAGGAGCCATGTTCACAGAACTGTACAGAAGTATGTGGGGTGTTGATGCCTGGAAATAGATTTTGTAAATTGTTAAGCAAGAAGTTTTAAAAGCAGTGGAAAATAAATTAAGTTTGGACTCATTGCACTTTTTTTCTTAGTGGTATGATTCACCATTTGCCTTGGCCCTGTGTAAATACACCTGCAATTCACAATGAATAAATACATTTACACATGGTGCAAATACAGCTGTGTTTATGCATAATGCCAAACATAACAGGAGTATCATTTTAAGTAAACTTGCAACTGAATTACTGGAAGTTATACGGCTGATAGTAAGTACCGAATGATTACCTGGTCAACAGAAATACTGCAAATCCTGTGGAGATTGACAGTCATAAAATTACTGAGCACCACAATAGCATACAGTGTGTTGTTTCAATGCTGCAGCATGTAATACTGACCTAACTCAACTAAACTGAGCTTCTGTACAAATGCAGGCAGCCTCTGGCACCTTTGGACCAACTGGAGATCCAGAACTCAAATTAAATGATTCTTAGCAACCGGTGACATGAGATGGTTATAAGTTTCCAAATTTGTTATTTTTCTGTCCTTGGTTATTCATTACCCTAATTGTAGACAGGCAACTGAATGTTTCGAATAAAGCTTTCTTGTTTCTTTAGGGATCTGCATGTGTGTACCATCACATCTTATCATAAACGCTACCAGTTTTAAAAGAAGAAACATCTTGGCTGGAATTATCCTGTCTGTGGTAATGTTACCACTAATAGGAATATAGTTCCTTAGAAGATGATGGTACTTTTCACATAATTACTGCCAGTCAGTTTCTTGATGTTGAAATGCACGCTCACATAATGATTTACTGAGCACTAAAACCCTGATTAGAACTCTCACTAAAGATAGCCCAGTATTATTTTCATTTTGTTTATATCTATGTTAAACACACAGTATAAGGATAAGGATAAATAAAACATGGTACAACACTTATATTGTGCCCTGATGATTAGTCAGAAAGCTCCCTCACTAAATACGAATTTGCAATTTATAGAACTGAAATGCAACTAACAATCGTCATGATATAATACGAGAAAGATTTTAACAGTTTCATTGGAAATAATTCTGTAAAACTAACCTCAATAACCTTTTACTCTATATTGTAGTACACTTAAAATGACAAGCAATGGAAAATGCACCTCCCGTTTGTTTTTTTAGATTTGGCAAGCCACCTCCTAAATCTAAAAGA